AAACGCTCCGTTTTTGGCGCTCAAAAACTCCGGCGTAGTGTGGACGGATGATGTAACCATAGCAAAATGTTTTCACACTAAAACGCATTAGTGTAAACGAGGCCTCAGTATTTGGGCTTTGGTCCCAAGATTAAGAAAGAGACAAAACAAGTGGTAAAATTTGCTCTGTTTTTTTCCTGCTCCCTCTCCCACACTCTCCCCCTTTCTCTTTCTCCCTCCCGCTGTCTCTCCTTCTCTCTCAGGTAACTTTGTTTTACATTCAAGCTGGGTACAATTAATAATTAAATGTGTTTTTATCATTTCAGTTGTAACCATGGAGAATTATTGTCATTAAATCACTTCATTTTCAAGCATTAGTGAATTACTTTTGATTTAATATCAACGCTTAATTGCTCCATATAGCAATGCAATGCAATCATATAAAAGCAACGCTCTCCCACATTTTTTGTTATTAAAACTGCCCTATTTACATTTTTGGTATAAGATTGCAGAAGGAAGGTTTGACCAAAAATGTACAGTTTTTCACCATCAAACTACACTACCATTGTACTAACACAATCAGAATGATAACACTTTACAATAAGATTGCATCAATTAATATTAGTTAATGTACTAATATGTATAATGTACTTACTAGCATGAACAAACCATGAACAATGTATTTAGTTTATGTATTCATCATGTTAACATAAGCTAATGAAAATAAAGTTGTTTATTGTTAATCCATGTTAACCCACAGTGCAATATAAAGCATTTGTAGCCTACAGTAAATGTTGAACTATGATTAATAAATTCCATGCATTATTATTCATTCTTAGTTCACGTTAGTAAATACATTAACTTATGAAACCTTATTATAAAGTGACCAAAACAATTTAAATAAAATAAGAAATTTCTGATTAGGCAGACATGTATGGTGTTAAACTTGAGGCATGCAGTCCGTTTTATAATTGTTTAAGAATTTGCAATCATGTCTATAAAGAACACAAGTGTACGCTTTACAAAATGCTGGGTTGTTTTAACCCAATGTTGGACCAATCCAAATATGGACCAATCCAACATCATGGTAATTTTTTAAAAATTACTAATGTAATGTAATGTAATGTCATGTCATGTGTATTTTTATAGCGCATATATTGTGTATGGCCATACACCCAAAGCTCTTCACAATCATGAGGGGGGTCTCTCCACACCACCACCAGTGTGCAGCATCCACTTGGATGATGCGAAGGCTGCCACAGGACAACGGCGCCAGTGCGCTCACCACACACCAGCTATTGGTGGAGTGGAGAGACAGTGATAGAGCCAATTCGGTGGAAGGGAATGATTGGGAGGCCATGATCGTAAGGGCCGATAGAGGGACTTTGGACAGGACACCGGGGTTACACCCCTGCTCTTTCACGAGAAGTGCCATGGGATTTTTAATGACCACAGAGAGTCAGGACCTCGGTTTAACGTCTCATCCGAAAGACGGCACCCAATGACAATGTAGTGTCCCCTTCACTTTTTACCTGGGCATTAGGACTCACATAGACCTCAGGTTGAGCGCCCCCTGCTGGCCTCACTAACACCACTTCCAACAGCAACCTAGTGTTCCCTAGTGGTCTCCCATCCAGGTACTGACCAGGCTCAGCCCTGCTTAGCTTCAGTGAGTAACCGGTCTTGGGCTGCAGGGTGATATGGCTGTGGCTATAATATTTAAATTACACATTTTTTAACCCAACGGTTGAGTCAATATTTGACCCAATGTTGAGTTACAACAACCCAGCATTCTGTGTGCAACATTTGATTCAGCTGGCCATCCAAGGTCTGACTTTATTTCATTGATTTTAGATGTTGATGGATTGGACTCCATCAAACCCATTTAATTAGTATTGAGGCAGCAGTCTGCAAACGGATGGGGGGGGGGGGGGGGACTGACATCATACAGCTGATCTGCTTAAGCATCATACAAGTGAGAAACACAGTAGAGTTCATTAGACAGAGCCGCTCTAGACAGTGTGAGATATGGTTACTGTAAAACCGCTGCTGTTATTATGAGCTTCAGGAGAGTGTGGACGGATCGCTCTGTTGGAGAGTGAGTTCTACAGCACGTCCCATCAGTCTTTAATAATTTACATAGAGCACATTAAGTTACATGCTGCTGGAGCACAGCAGGCTGGAGACAGAGCACAGCCAAAGACTTATTATATTTACTGCAGCCAAACTGCTTTAAGATATGCCATTCGTGTCTACGGCAGCTGCTCGGCTTGTGTTTACTCCCCCCGGAAGTATGAGGAGGAGAAGGAGGCTGCCATTTTGCTCCTGAGACACTTACTTCCGGGATTTGATTTTACATGTGTGAGTGTGTGTGTGTATTAATAAATTAGCAGCAATAATTCTAACACTTATTTTGAAATATTTCCCAAGTGCTGTTTAATGGAGATAATATTTTTACAACATATTTTTAAATATAACAGTTTTAATAGCTAACTTATTTTGTTTATGATGACAGTACATAATATTTTACTAGTTATTTTTAAGATACTAGATTTCCTCTTTACTCTAAACCAGATTAATTATATTGGTAAGGTTAATTAGACAAGCCATCGGACAACTGTGGTTCTGCCAAACGAAAAGCAGGCAAATTTTTAAATCTTTTTTTATAGACCCTTTATAGACGTCACAATGTGTATTTTAGTTCGGTTTACCTTTGAATGAATAGGAGACTTCTCTGGAAAATTTACAAAATGAAAGTATAAACATTGCACGTTCTGATTTTAGACTATTACAGTACTGGGTATGTGTCCAAATGTTTCTCTTTCTGTACTGAAGTGCTTTCTGAGTTTAAAAATGATTCTTAAAGTTATTAAGAATAGGAATAAGCTATTGTTTATCAAGGAAAGTGTATGTTTGCAACCTTTTCACCCATTAATTCAGTTTATTTCCTCAATAATAGATGTATTTTTACTTTGATGCTGCTATGAATACATTTATATTATCTGTTATATGTAAATGTTCCAGAATAAGTAAAATTCTTTATTAAATCTTCTCATATTACCTGGCAAGTATGTTTATAAATGCAATTGGTTTAATCATTTATTATTTATTTATCCAATAATGTTTTGTTCAGTTTCTTCATTTAAATGAATTAAGAATTTAATTTGATATTAGTACTACCTTTTAATTAATAATGTTGCAAAGTAACTGATAATCTAATAATACTGAATTAAAATGCAGTCATCTTGTAATTGTAAATTTTTATATTGGCTTTGCTTGATTATTAGGAGTCACACACAACATTGTTATTCTATTTTATTTAATTTGAATAATTAATATACATAAATATTTTATGTTCATGAATAAAATACTTATATTATACTTGTATTATATTAGTATAATATATATATATATATATATATATATATATATATATATATATATATATATATATATATACAGTTGAAGTCAGAATTTTTTTTCCTTTTAAATATTTCCCAAACGATGTTTAACAGAGCAAGGGAATTTTAATTTTCGCAGTATTTCTGATCATATTTTTTTCTTCTGGAGAAAATCTTATTTGTTTTATTTCAGTTAGAATAAAAGCATGTTTGAATATTTTGAAACCTAATAAATAAGAGCTAGTATCTACTTAATGAGAATTACTACCTAATGAATAAATACTAGTACCTATTAGATACTATTCGAATAAGTAATAGTAGCCTATCTATTAAATACTGTGTACTATTATCTAAAAACAAGAACTAAGCACTAGTATATGTTTAAAAAGCACTATTATCTAAAGAATAGACACTATAGCTAATGAATAAGCACTAGTATCCACTAGTACTTAGAACGGGTAGTAGTACTTAATGAGATAGTACAGTGGTTCTCAAACTGTGGTACGTGTACCACTAGTGGTACGTGGCTTCCTTCTAGTGGTATGCAGAGGAATAAAATATGTCATGTACATGCTACACACATTTCAAAATTGATCAAAAATGATGTAAATAATATGCCATATAGCCTATATTTCTGAGGTAATCTGCCACATTTTTTAACTATGCAGAGGTGTAGCTGCTTTACTGGGCCTACTATGCTACTGTATTTCAATACTGCTCATTTTGGTGGTACTTGGAGAGACAATTTTTTTTCTGAGGTGGTACTTGATGAAAAACGTTTGAGAACCACTGAGATAGTATATCTAAAAAAATGAAGCACTGGTAACATGAAAATAGACACTAGCATAAATTAAATGTCAGAACGGCTTGCCATACTTAATCTTAAAAATTACTTGGGTATATCTTATTTTAAAAATAATTTAAATGTGTTGTTGCATGATACATCCATATAGGAGTCAGGTAAAACCTCTGGAGGCGCGATTTGGCGCCAATTATTATTTTAAATTTCAACGGTTATTTCGACGCCTGAAGATGAAATGATGCTGTTTATGGAGCTGTAAGTATTAAGCCTGCATTTGTTTAGTTTAATTTCCATATCAGAACATCCAAAGACCTTATTGTTTGATGCAGAATCTAAAATACGATGATTTATGAGGTGATATTTTGGTTTTCAAGCTTTCATCATCAATTAACTGCGTTCTTGTTTAGTGCATATAAATGTGACGTTTCATTCTCCCCTTGTTCACGTCGACCTGGACAGCACATAGCAAGGCATAGGCTATGTTATAGGACTAATTAAAACGGTTTATTATCATTTAACGAATTACATCCTCTCATATAAGTATTCACTTATTAGTTGTATTAATCTGCTCACTTTTTTCGATTCACTAAGAGAACCGGCTCATAAGAGTCATTTGCTTTTGAATCTGTTCACAAAGGTCGCCTTGTTTGTTTGTTTTTTACAATGTTGAGGTATCTTTTTTATTACAATTTAAAGCAGTAAAACTCAGGTGTTATGTAATATGCGCGATTCGCGGGACCGCGCTCCCTGAAGTCCACTGCGTTTTTCGCGCCTCTCTCATCCGCTCATTGATTCGCTGCTGCGCCTCCTCTTCGCCCCGCCCCCTCCCGCTTTCTTCCTCTCACTCCATCCTGCCCGAATTTCATAGCTCAGCATTCTCCAGTCCCCCGTACATGTAGCGCAGGTTTCTAAAAGCAGGAGGGGTGGGATGGCTTTCAGAGTGAGCCATGGAAGAAAAAAAAAACCCTCCTCACCCAATTGGAAATGGGAGGAGTTTTTATTGAGCCGTGATTGAACCAATGACAGCTCAGTGCCGGGAAATACAGCAGTGAAACACCAGGGGCTGTGGTGCTGCTGAGCAACGATTGCAGGGTGTGTGAGACTAGGAAATGTGTGTGTGCGCGCATGCCAGCATCTCTGCATCTGTCCCGATCCGAGCTAGTATCGTGTGTGCGTGGATGTGTGCGTGAGCGCGGGGGGAGCGCAGAAGACATCAGTGCAGTGTGTGTGTGTGTGTTGTGTGTGTGTGTTTGGACACATCTGACATTTCCAACAGAAGAGGATAAAGCAAAAGTCTTGATTCTTGTCACTTTTCTTTCTTCTTCTCCTCTAAGCTCTCCAAGTGCCCTGCGCGCTCTGCGAAGTTTTTCTTCAACCCCCCCCCTCCGCATCACCACCCTCCTCTTGGTGCAGTACATCTCTGCTGAGGATACACACGGTACAGAGGTGAGTACAGTATCTCTCTTTAATAATAAAGCATGCTTTCCTTGCTATGCATTTTCACATGGGAAGCTTTGTAATATGTGTAGCATAAGCTAAATATAGTCATTACAAAAAAATGAAGGTGTATTGCTGGGAGGAGAGAGAGAGAGAGGAAGATCTTTGTCAGCGAGTGTAACTTTCTCAGAGTGTGAGTGCGTAGTGTCCTAGTGCTGCAGTATCACATTACATAATAGTGGCCGATGTGCGTAGAATAGAACTTGAGTCATAATTTGTACACACAACATCAGTATACACCTCTTGATAACTCTGTTTATCGCTATCTATCTACATGTGTGCACGCATCATGATGAAATACATCAACATTCGGATGTTTATGCACTTTTAAAACATAAAGTTTTCATCATTTTTATTTCATCTGCACGCAAATGCTCCACAGTTCTCCCAGCAGCGCCTGCTGAATTATTTATGCCACACAGTACTAGTGGTTTTGCGGACTATTTAGGGTGGATGTCCAGCAGAGCTTGCTACTAGCTGCTGATCACTGCTGATCTTTTCGCTGATCAAGCTTTTCTGCCGACAACAGGCGCAGATTTACTCATCCAGTCTGCTGGCGAAGGATGATATAAACTTATTAAGCACATCATCAATCTGCATTTTAAATGGGTAAATTATAAAAGTTGCAAACTGCGCTGAGGTCAGCGCCGAAAGTCAACGGCTCATCATTGCCTTCACACATAGAAACACTCCCCAAGCTCGAAGAGAGGGCCTATAACAGGAAAAGGCAATTTAAGAGGTGATCTCATTGATTGCGGTGGTGCCCATGTTGAACGGTGTTGGAGAAAGAAAGCGCAGACAGATTGAAGACATGGGAGGTGCCTTGGGCCGATGCGCTTCTGCTAAGTGCTTGGGGTCAGTCCTTGAGAGCTCCACATAATAATGGCACTCGTTTAGATTCAGAGTAGACCTCGCTCTACTCAAAGCAGAGGTGAGACAGAGGAGGCATCGCCGCATTGGACACACACACACGCATACACATACACATGGATGGATGTGGAGTCTATTCAGTGGAGTGAAACCGTTTCCCCATGCTGCAATAAATCAAGCTCTTGTACTGCTCCACAGGGGCCGGTAATGTTTGAAGAAGAACATCGGCCCCCTTTTTTAATGTTTTACAGTAATTGATGGGACTTGGGTCATCATGACGCAGTATCAGAACTCAACACACTCATAGTGTACTGTTATTATCGTCAAGAACAAGTCGCTAATTTTGAGCAGGTTGTGTTTGGTCTTTGTTGTTGCAGTGTTTTGGGTGATGCCTGCAGATTTTGCGGTATCTGTAAGGTATCTATACAGTGCTCAGCATGAATGAGTACAACCCCTTTTGAATATTTTTCATTTCTAAGTGAATATAGCCCATGTCTTTTGATGCATTTAAAGAAAACAGGTTTATTAAACAGTTACAGTATATACATGTTTATTTTGGTCACCAAATATCTTTAGAAATAGAAAGATACTTTGTCCCAGGACCATTTATATCAACGTTGATATTTAGCTGCATCATATTGGTGTTTCGTAACATCTAGCTTTTATGAGGTGGGTCGTAAGCCCAACGCTCAACCCCCAACCTGAGGTGCGTTTCCCAAACAATGAAGTAACACACGGCTGAACTATCATATGCATCGTTTGAGAAAAGAACGATGTAGTGACGAGTGTTTCCTAAAACCCGTAGTTTCTCTGTCGCAGATCCATCGTTTGAACCATGTTAGGTATAACTTAAAACATCCGAAATGATGCTCTTAACGGGGTGGAGTAAGAACTCCACAGAAAAAACAATCATTTCTTTGTGCAAATGATATTGTTTTACACGCACACGCATTAAAAATAAAATCTAATATTAGTTTTGGTAAAAACATGCACTCGATTTCCATATTAATTGAAATATATGTAAATGGCACATTTAAAGCCAATGTTTCCTTTACTAATATTATTGAGAACATTACATATTTTATTTTAAAACATTAAATCACTTACAAAAGCTAACATGTATTCTAATATCATATAAATCATAAAAATAACTAATGAAACAATGTATTAAGAAATGAAACGTAATATTTTTTATTTATTAGGAAATGAAAAAAACCTACTTTAATAATAACATTAATAATATTAATGATGATGATGATTATTATTATTATTATTATTAAGTAGGATAATATTTATTTATTTTTATTTTTTAAAAGGTCTAATTTTACAATTTGACACATGCAAACCACTTCAGAAATGCTCTAACCAACAGGCCCATGTCATATACAGTACAGGTACTTAGTAACTGTTACTATAAATTACTATAAACTATAAAATAATAGGTCACCTATAGCTTTCATCATGAGCCAAGGGCCAGACGGAATCTGCGGACATTTTTTGCTATTTTTGCGGAGAATTTTGGTAAAAATCTGCAGATTTCTGCAGAATTATTTTGGGAGTATCCAGCGGAATATCATAACTAAAACCTTAATATATGAAATAAAAAGTAACAAATTACTGAATAAAAACTTAATAAATTCAGATTTACACATTTACTCAAGTAAATAAACAGAATTAATGATGGGCTAGAAATCTGCGGAAAATCTGCGGAATTCTGCGCACGCAGATTCCGTGGTGGCCTAGATGGCTGTGTTCAAAGTGACCTCAATGTTTTCAAAGTGCACTGCGAAGGCAATGCAATTGTAAACATGAAGATCGCTAAAACTGAACTGTAAAAATACTTTGAAAGCAAATTACAGCTAAGAGAGATGACTAATGCTTTTATTTTTTTAAATAATTCCAAGTTTAAATGTTAGTATGTTTTAAATGAATAGGGCATGGGGGGATAAGTGGGAATAGAACCCCGTCAGGAACTATGTTTCTAATACAGCTCCAGAGGTGTAGTTGCAAGCGTGCAAGTTTGCGAATGTTCGTTGAAACAATGGATTTGGGAAATGGCAAATCAATGAATTATGTTTGTAACGATGAAACTTGCAACCTTAGATAGCTAGCGATGGTATTCAGACACGCATCTCTGGACGACCAGGACATACACACATATACTACAGACAATTCGCCTACAGCACATGTCTTTGGACTGTAGGGGAAACCAGAGCACCTGGAGGACACCTGGCCAACTGACCTAGCCGGGGCTTGAACCACTACCCACTGTGCCACTGTGTCACCTATTAATAGAAAGACAATACATTTAATTTCAAATTAGTTATTGCAAAAGAAATGACAAACTACAAAATTTCACATATATTTGATAGTTTTTTTCTATTTATTAAAATGTTATTTAATATTTTACCAGTGTATTATTTAAATGTACTCATTTCTGGACTGTGATCTTAAGTTTTTCTCTTAAATTAGTTCCAGTTTTGTTTTTTGGCTTTTTTTACTGACTAATCTAATGCTTGTGCACAAATATATTATTGTAAAGCACCATTTACAATATGTAAAACAAAGATCTATGAGGAGTGTGCTCATAAATGCTGAGCACTGTATATATACAGTATATATCCCTGCAATTTTTCTGTCCCTGTCTCTCGCTCTCTAGAGTGTTGTGCGATTTTAAAAGTGGATATCAGCTTGATGGCTCATGAAATTGAATGGTCTTTGCCTGCTGTAATCGTGTCTTGCTGAAATTGGGATGCGTTCACATAAAACATAGGGGTCTCCCTGTGGTTTTTCTGATCAACTCGGGTGAAATGACCATCAGTGCTCATTCAATTTTCTTGCTTTATAAGCTAATATCGTCTCTTTCATAAAAGACCACCCCAATAGGATATAGTTAATGCAGCAATGGTCTCATATTTAAAGTGACAGTTCACCTAAAAATATTAAATATAATTCTTTTGAACAACACATTAGGTATTTTTTAAGATGTTGGAAAGAAATAGGAATTGATTTCCATATTAGGAACAAAATATATACTGTTGAAGACAGTGGTTACTAGTTTACAACATTCTTCAAATGATCTACTTTGTGACTTAAATGGGTTTTGAACAAGTGAAGTGTAAACACAATCTGTAACTGAACTGTCCCTTTAAACGTGCAGTAAGTTTGACACCCAGTGGTTATACTAGATATTCCACTCCTTGTTCAAAACACCTACTTTGATTTGGTCAGATTTGCTAAGTGTTGTGTAAAAACTCTATTTGTTTTACTTTATTTTTTATTTTATTAAATGTCTACTCACTGTAATCAGGACCAGCCTTTCAAAAGGCTGAAATGGTGCAATCATAAGGGCCATATACTATGTTTGTCAGTGATTCTCAGACTGTGCTATAGTGCTGGTTCAGTATTATTCAACCAATTGATCTGTTGTCAGAAATGCTGTATTGAAGGAATGATGAATGTTCTTCCATGAGCAAGCTATTTAGAGTCACCAACTTACTGTAGTAGCCTTTACTTTTTTTATTCATCACTTCCGGTTTTCAGTTTTCACGCAGCTCTATTTGAAAGTGCGTAGTACAGGTGCAGTGGTGTCACGTTCTCGTTGTCTTTCTCTTTACCTATCCATCTGTGTTTCCCCTTTCGCTCTGACGCAGCTTTGATTTAACGGCATCTTCGCTGTCACATCAATCAGTCCTCTGGTAATGGCTACGTAAACTCTTGAGTGCTCCATGTGTGCAATGCAGAAATGCAAATCCTTGTTTGACAATTCAACACTACATGTATTCGTTCACAATGACTGAAGGGAAGCTCTGAAGCTTTGGGTTTGTTTGACGCACTAATGGATGTGATTGTCACTGCAGTGTTTAGTGAAGGCCAGAATATAAACTAGGGATGAACAATATATTGTCTGAGCATCGATATATCGGCATCTACAGTAGCCATGTAGAAGGATTTGATTATTTATTAAAGATTTAAAGACAAAAGATATTAGTCATTTTTTACATATTAATTTATACAATGATGACCATATTATTTTACATTTGATTGTTAAGTTTTTGAATTTGAATACTGTTAGGCTTGATAGAAAACCATAGAGCACTAAGTATTTAACTTTTATTTTTGCTCTGGCATATATATATATATATATATATATATATATATATATATATATATATATATATATATATATATATATATATAT